ATACATACATACATACATACATACATACATACATACATACATACATATTGGAGATTGAAGCTTCATCAACAGCTCGTATTGGCACCAGCAGAAAAAAAGACATGTACTTATTTTTTTAACGTAGAGGTAATTTGCTTCTCACTGTGTCTCAAGATTTGGGTTGCTTACAAGTCTTGTTCTTAGTAACCTAAAGTGGGCAGATTCTTTGAATTATTCATGCCTTTACTACTGACATTAGCTCCATCGTTCTTCCATTCATGTTAAATAACATGCAATTTGCACTTCTATTTATTTGTTTCTGATCTTTTACACACCAACATTTCCCCTTCCAATCACATGAGGAAAGAAACCACCATTTCTCAAAACTCAGGAGCCTGTTGTTCTTCTCCTTCCAGTCTTGGATGGACTGATTGGTTGGATACCAGGAATCTGCTTCTAGCTAATGAAATGGGGAAATTGAAGGTAGACGTGAAACACCTGTGTGGCTTGCAAACACAGCAGCAGTGAATTTTACTGTTGTGCTGGATCCCTCAGAAGAAATTATTTTGCTGATAATTTGCAATTGAGAATCATGACAAGAGTTGAGTGTGCACACTCTGCAGTTTCAACATGGATGCATTGAAGGATTTCTGGAATTGGTTTCTGCATCATTGCCTTTTTGACAAAGTGCAAGATGTCCAAATAATCCCTCATTTTGTATGCTTAGACAAAAAATGGTGCTGTCCTACTGGTTTTTCCTTCCTTTCATTAGAAGCTACTTTCTTGCTCATGGAATTGAGCCCTGGGTAACTGAACTATTGAAGGTGAAGAAACAATGTGGCGAAGGAAGGAAGGAAGGAAGGAGGGAGGGAGGGAGGGAGGGAGGGAAGGAAGGAAGGAAGGAAGGAAGGAAGGAAGATTGCCTCATCTCTCCTTTTCCTTCCAGGAAGTCTTCCATGCATGGCTTGTATGCCATTCCTGGACTATCTCATTCTCATTCCAGGACATCATTCCCTAGGGCAGCTAACCTGATTTTTTTGGTGCTTGGTTGTAGCACATTTCTCCTATTTGCAGTGCTCAGAGACTCTCACAAGGCTTGGAGCAGGCTGCTTTCCCATTTGAGGGAAGCCTCCCTTGAAGCTGTCTAGTAGATTTCACAGGTAGCCTTATCAGCAAACCTGTTTTTAATCCTTCTGCAAAGTTTCACAATCCATGTAAAAAAAAATATCTCCAGTTAATTTTTTTCTGTTTATATAAGCAGTCTACCTCCAATTCTTGCCTCACCCTGCCTCCCAGTCGTTGGGCTCAAGCAAGCCATTCTGCTTTACCATGCATACATACCCTGAACTTAGACCCATGATCGTCACTTTTTAGGAAGAATGACTGGCCGTGATGTGAAAATGCCATACATCATTCACTGCAGCATTCAACTAGACTTTATATTAGGAAGAAGGTCATCTTGAGATTCTCTTATCAGCATTTTGTACATGGCACCAGCAAAAGATTAGAGAGTACTCGCGGCCTGGGGGCTGGATGCGTCAAATGTTGGCCCTGCCCCCGCCCGGTTTAGCAAAGGGGGAAAAAGTCCGGATCTGTCATGTGACGATGTGAGTTTGACACCCCTGGATTAGAGTGAGAAACTGGTGGTTTATTTTGCCTCTTTTGGTTGAACTTGGGGGAGTGGAGAACTGAAAGGACCTTTGTTTCCAGGCGCTGCTGTAACACAAGGCTACATTTTTCACACGGATTGGTGAAAGCACTGATTGGCTCATGATGGGGTTCCATGCTTGCTCTCAGAATTTTACCTTTAGCAGGCTTGCTTCAGAACTACTTTGCAGGGATTGGAGAATAAAAATGCTAGCTTAAACCTATTATTGAACCTGACGATGATGAAATAACAATGGTAATAATTGCAATGATAGGAAATAATAATCATTATTTGCAATAGCTGGCATCCTGTGATGATACCTTTAATATTATTTTATAACAACATCTGCTTGTCTCAGGTTCTTAGGAAGGATTCAATAGGTGGACAAAAATGCCAAATCCAGGTTAAACATCTGGCTCACTGTGTGACCAACCATAACAATAACAAAGTCTCCTTCAATAGTTTGAAAGAGTCTTATATATTTGCATGTAACGTATAATTAGTTCTCTTGAGATCTAATTCATGGTCACTTTAACCTCAGATACTGAATTCGGCAAGGGGATCTCAAAGAAATCTGATCAGAATTTCCCTGCCAAGAGAAGCACAGTTAGATGACTCTGGCAATGTATTGTGTTTTTATGTTATGCCTTTTAAAAATGCAGTCTCTTGATATATTTTGCAGCACGAGCTAAATGGGACGGATTCCTAAATACACACACACACACACACACACACACACACACAGAGAGAGAGAGAGAGAGAGAGAAATCACAAAGATGAGTAAATGTAGTAGAACCTATCCTTTGTCACCCTGCATGCTTTAGGTTTCATTGCAGTGATTCAACTTGGTAATGTTCTTTTTTAGAAAGACTGTGGGTGTCCTTGGGAGGGGCAAGGTAAACATCACATATGCCACAGCTCAAAGGACACAAATCACATATTGTGCATCATTTACATCATGGTGCAACAGATACAAATTACGTAATTCACATTAGCTGAATCGTGATGTTATTGAGACTTCTACTGGCACATGTGGGAAAGGCCTTGGTAGGTGGATTCTTTCTCTCCTCTTGTCTCCTTCTTGTGTTTGGCTTTAAAGGGCTTTATAGTTCCAGACCTGGTTTCATAGTTACACCTAAAACCAGGGGTGGGATTCAATTTTTTTAACAACCAGTTATGTGGGCATGGCTTATTTGGTGGGCATGGCTTGGTGGTCATGTGACTGGGTGGATGTGGTTTGGTGGTTGGCTGGGC